ACAGTATCCAAGGTGAAGAAATGTCTGGTTGACAGGCATTGTTGGGTATGACTTTAGCAAGAATAGTTGGAAAGAAGAGGTGAAGTTATTGCCTTAAAGTCAGCCTAGAAGGGTGAATTCTAAATTATTTTCCCTGATGTTATTGACATAAACTTTTTTCTTTTTTATACCAGGGATTGAACTCAGGGATACTTAAACAATAAGCTACATCCCCAGCCCTTTCTTTATATTTTATCTAGAGACAGGGTCTCCCTGAGTTGCTCAGTGCCTCGTTAAGTTGCTGAGCTTGGCTTTGAACTTGCAATCCTCCTATTTCAGCCTCCCAAGCTTCTGGGATTACAGGTGTGCACCACTAAACTTAAAGATCATCAGATCAACCTGATGATCATCCTACCTATTGAGGAAAAAGAAAGAGCTTGAGAGAGCTGGGAAGATGTCACTGATATTTCTGGTACTCCAAGACCACATGGAGACCATGGAGTGCTTAAGAGGATGGGATCTAGAGTTAGACTGACCAGAATTGCTGTAGGACTTGGGTAAGTTACTTGACTTGGTTCAATACGTTCTGCTTTACATGATTGTCTTGTCTCTGCAAAGTTCTGAGGTCCTGGCACACTCAACAGTCCTTGGGGCTGTGTCCTTACTAGAGCAGAACCTCTGCTTGTGGTTGGTTTTATACCTTCCAGACCTCTGTAGCTGCCACCTGGCCATGCCACAGAATCTTCTGCTTGGGTGCCCATGTGGCTCCTAACTGGTCTCCCATCTCACCCTTGCCCCTTTCCAATCCATTTTCCTCACAGTTTCCAGAGTGATCATTCCAAAGCTCATTTCAAAGATTATTAGGATACCTGAACACCTCCCTCCTTAACCTAAAACCCCTCACTGTCTGCAGGGGAGTTACTTAAAGTCCATAATCCATTCCTCCCCTTACAAGGCCCTGCACACTTTAGCACCTGCCTGCCTCTTTTAAGTCCCCAACGGGCCACACTTTTTACCATGCTACATGAGCTCTTCTCCTGTCTGCTTGTGCCTGGTGCATCCTCCCCAGCTCCCTCCTCAGCCTTCAGTCTCAGTTCACAGTCTCAGTTCGCACTTCCTGAAGAGAGGCCCTCCCGGACTCACCCATCTAAACATAGCCCCATTTACTGTCATTGCACCCTGTGCTTGTTCCACATAGCGCTGGCTGCATTTGCAGTTGGGAACTTGTCTATAATTATCGATGTCTGTTTATATATGGCACGATCTTAGCTCCAGGAGGCTGGGCCATATTTATTTCATTCTTCACTGTGTATAGACAGAGCAATGTCAGATGCATGGTAGGTGTTTTTGAATTAATAAATGAATGAATGAGTGACTCGCTCAGCAGGGGGTGTTTCTGTTCTTCCCTCCACGAATGGGCTAGGCTGGTCTGGAATTTTGTTTGTGGAAAGCTATGCACTGCCATGGAAACCTGGATTCAAGAGACCTGGATTCTAGTCCCAGCAGTCCCACTTCTGGGTCATGTGATCTTAAACAGGTCACTTAGAGAGCTTTGGGAGGCAGGGACCAGGACTTACCCTGGCACAAGTAGAAGTCCTGCAAGTGAATGAATAACTCAAAAGTGTGAGCTCTTTCTTCTTCTGAATTCCCCCCAATCCATTGTCAACTGGACTTTGGGAACCCAAAACACAATGGAAGTTGGAGTATTTATATAGTCAATGTGTACAGCAGAGATGCCTACAATGCAGACAGATGTCCTCAAGAACACGACCACCATTGTGGAGGCCTTTTGAGGAACACTTCAGAGTCTCAGGGAAAAGGCTGAGTACTTAAACCTCTTGGAAGACCTAACAAATTCAATTCATTTTGATTTACAACTCAGCATGTGCCAGGGAGTTAACTTAGCCTAAGAGAAGGAAAGATGTATATCTGAGGCAAAAGGTTGAAATGTTGGAGGAGACCTGGCCTATGGGGTCTCAGTTCTGGCCCAAAGAGAAGCAGATCCAAGGGCTGCACAACGTGCCTATGGAAGTATTGAACACTTCGGGAAACCAGAGAACAGACGCGGTGTCAAAAAACACTTATGTGAGCACATAAAAGGCCAATTGCTTCTCAGCCTGTCCTGGCAATGGAGAAACAAGCATTCATATGTCAAATAACAGTAACAGGCCAATCTCTGCCCCAAGCTGAGCCCAGATACCACGGTGTACGGGCGATTGCTGGGCAGGGAGCCAGGAAACAGAGCTGTCAGCTCAAGTGTGCCTCTGCTCAATGGCTACGGTTGGTATTCAGGGTCAGTTCACAGTAAGCCACATTCCAAATAAACCAAGCCACAGGAAGGAAGGGGTGGCTCTGGAGAGGTGCAAGCTCCTTGGGTAAATGAACCTGCCCTGAGACAACAGAGGTGCCCACTCCATTCCTGGTCCCTCCTTGCCCCACGCCTCCCTGTTCTGAAATGAAGTGGCCCCTCTCCATGAAGTTTGCAAGGCTTTTCCACCTTATACCAGATGTGGAACGGTTTATCCCCATAACAACTCTGTGTCAGCTCCTTCCCATTCAGTTTGTTTTGCCATTGGGACCCTGAGACTTCAGAGCTAAAGGGACTTTACCTGGTCTCCCTGGTAAAGTGGCAATATTGATGCTGGTCTCTGATTTTCAGTTCCTGCTCTCCACTGAGCCATGGACTTGAATTTGGATAATTTTCTTAACAGGACCTCTTGTCCAGCAATGCTCTCCTTTTGGGTGTCCCTGACACAGAGAGGGTTTCCTACGAGGATGGGGACAGAGGTACAGGTTTTGGGGCCCTGGGTGGCAGGTTGGGAGGCCTCTCCCAGACTGACTGACAAGGAGGTTCTCTGAGAAAAGGCCTGCAGGACCCTGTCCCTCTGGGTCCCCTGTGGCTTCGGGTCCCCTCCCCACCCTCTACCTGCTACAGCTCCCTAACCGGTAGTGGCCATTCAGGGTGGTGGCCTCTCCTCAGTGACTGGGCCACTGATAATCCTGGAGATGGAGGCTTATGCCAGACCAGCTTCCTAACTGTGAGGCAAAGAAGTAGAACGGCTGGGCTTCCTCTAAGTCATTCTGCTTCAGCCACTAGGGGCCACTGTGTTTCTGCTTGCTCCTTGTCCAGCCCACCCATGTCCACCCCGTTTTCCAACCTTCACCCTGGAGAGCCAGGGCTTTCCCTGAAGGAAGCCCTTCGCATGGCACTTCCTTCACAGAAACCCGGGGTTTCCCAGTGGCCCAAGGAGCCTCCCAGAGGAGGCTCTAACAACTGCCTCAGAGGTGACCCAGGCTTGAGAGGGTTCTGCCAGCAAGTGTGAAAACAGAGCCTGGACTCGACCCCCCCCCCCAGGGATCCCCAAGGAACAGAACTGACAGGCCCCTTGGCTCCTAGACGCTGTCCCAAGCGGTATGACTCACTGCCTGTCCTAGAGGCTGCTTTCCCTCACCAAGGTGCTCAGGCGCCATCTCAAGCATCATTCCCACCTACTCTCGTGGCCTTGCTCCCTGTGGTCCCCTTTAGCAGTGCACAGGTCTCGGAGCTCCTGGGCATGGCCACATCTTGTCAGGTCATTATGGGGATGTGCTGCCACCCTCATCATCCTTCACTCCTTCTCTGGGTCCTACCTTTCTGTTTTCCCGGCTCATTCCTACCCCACTTCTTGCTTCTAGGGATCTTCTCTGCAGACCCACTTCCTGGCTCCTAGCACTTCGAGGCTGAGTGCAGAGTTGGTACCTAACACTTTTAGAGTGACTTTAAATCACAGAATGACAAAATTTAAGAACCAGGCTAGAGGTGTAGCTCAGTGGCAGAGTGTGCGCTTAACATGGGTTCAATTCCTAGCACAACCAACAAACAAACTTAAGAACCTTGGGGTCAGGGTCATATCATTCACCATGCTGCTTTTAACACAGGAGAAGCAAGGCCTTGGGAGCTAGGATAGGAACTGGTCACAGGGACCAGGACAGTTAGCAGTAAAGCCAAGGCATGACCCAGGGCTCCTGAATTCAAGCTGCCACCACACACACACACACACACACACACACAGCCCTGAGGGTCAGTTTCCATGGCAACTCCTTCTTCTCCATCCTCAGGAGAAGCCCCTGAGTGGCTGGCCATGGCTGGCTCTTCTGGCCTCCATTTCTTCACTGTATATGAGGAGGTTGAGGTTCGTGGAGGTGGGGTTTGTTTTATTTGCTCTTAGCCAAGCCCTTAAAAATTTCAAGGAAGGCAGAATATTCCACTTTACCAGCCCAGTGTCTCTTACTATCTGTAGAGTGTATGATTCTTCCCTAGGCCTGTGAGGTGGGAAAGGACTTTGGTCTGGGGTCTGACGCCTCACACTCTCCTGGACCCTAGATCCTCCCAGAAGGCTCAGGTGACCAGAAACAGAACAAAACCCCATCCTGGAGCTAGAGGGGCAGCTTGGAAAGTGGCGGGAAGAAAACTGGAGGACCCAGAGAGGCACATCCCCAACAGGCCTTGTGCCTACCCCACCCTCTGCTATGTTCATGGTGGGGAAAGGGATATACAGGAGGCCAAGGCCAGTGCCAGGGCATTAGCCCAAGAGGAGGCTTGTAAATCCAAGGTCAGGTCAACCAGTTGACCATCCCTTGATTCATACGTTTCTCATGTCTTGTCCCCTGAATTGATATCTTTATATGGGCTTTTCTTCCATTTCTGTCACCAGCTTTCTTGATTTTTAATCATAGTTTCTTCTTGACACTTTCTCTACCCCTGGCTGTTGCTCTGCCTATTTCTCTGTGCAAAATAAGCCCAGCTCCCTCTGTGAGCTCCCCAAATCAGACCACCCTCTGCCCACCCCCAGACATCTCTGCTTTTCTCTGCTTGTCTCTTTTCTGTGTCTTTCTAGTGTTCTCCCCTATCTTGTCCCACCTCTGCCCATCCACACACCTCCCTCTCTCTCTCTCTTTCTGACAGGTCCTGGCTTCCCTGATGGGACCTTGAAGTCCTCTTCCTCTGCCCCCCACCATGCTTCCCCAGGTGCATTACTTACTTGTGTTGGTGTCCGATGGCCCAAGGAGGAAGGAGCACAGGAGCACCCAGGGGAAACTCCTCCAGTGGGCCCCCTTCATGGTTCCAGAAAGAGTCCCTCAGGCTTCCCTGGAGAAAGCTCCCCAGCACAGAAGCAGCAGCGCGAGGAGCAGAGCCGAGCCTGTCCCCACTGGCTGCTGGTCTCAAACAGGTGTACTTCCCTGAAGGGGCCAGAGTGAGTACCAGGGAAGAGGACAAAAGAAGGCGGGGCCCAGTGCCAATCACCCTTGCTTGGTCTTTTCTTTCCTCAATCTCCACCTTCTTCCCCCACCAGGAAAAAATTACCAATACACCCATTGCTCTGCTCTCCTCACCCTGAGCCAAGGTAGGGGGTTGGGACATGTGAGGAAAGAGAAACTAGACATACTGGAAATGAGCTGGGCACCCTCTTGCTGTGGTCCTGGGCCCTTTTCTCCTTCTCTCAGGGTGCAGATGGCTGCAGCTACACTTCAGAAGAAAGGGTGGGAGGATGGGGAAGAAAGGGGCTCAGAAGGAGTGAGGTATATAGAGTCCCTAAGAAACATGGGCATGGGGAATGGGGAGGGACCACTTGAAGTAAGGATTAGAAGTTAGAAATACCCTATAAGCCATGTTTTGGAAAGGGGTGGTGGGCTTAGACTATCTTCTCAGTGCCAGCACATGAAAGACCCTTACCACACGATAGATTTCTCCTTCCTGGGACAGGGAGCCTGAATGAGGGTCCAGAGAACCCAAGGCAATCAGCACAAGGAGTTTGAGGGCTCTGGTGAGGGGAGTGGGATTGAGGTAGAACCTGGGTAGAATGTGGGACAGAGACATAGGGGAGAGTAGGGGATGCTCCTGGAGACCTGGGCTCAGATCACACACCCCCTATTTTGACCCCCTGGAACTCAAAAACTCAAGTGTGAAGGAGCAGGGACCCCAGCCAGGGTGTGCTGGGTGAAGTTCTAAAGGTGAGGGAGAGCAGTTTGTGTAGCTATGTGAGAAAACAATGGAGATTTCCCCTACTCTTTTCCACAGCATGAATCTCTGCTTATGGTGCTCTGAGACGTGATTCCCTGACTGTGGCGTCTGTGGAGTGCTTAGCCCCAGAGCAGGGAGCTCAGGCTTGGACACCACAGAGCCCACAGGAGGAGTCATTTCTGTATACCCAGGCGCAGCCAGCCTTGCCCAACGAGGAGTAGGTGGCTGACACTGGTGCCATCTCTGAGCACCACAGAGGCCTTACCATTTTATTGACCACTCACCTTCTGAAGCTAAAAATGCAGCTGTGACCCAAGTCCAAAGGCTGGGCCTTGCCATTTTCATGAAGATACTACACCTAACCATAGAGAGGTAAGTAGCATGGTGTTCCCTCCACCTCTCTGTGTAGACAAATTGCTCCCACTCTTTTTATAAGGTCAGGAAAGGCCTAAAGGTAGAGAGGGATTTTGTGCACAGAGCACCTGGATGGAGGATATCACTGAAGATAATTTGCATAGCTACCAAGGCCCAATTTGGCCTTCTAGATGATTTTCTGGTCAGTTCTTGATCATGGGGTCTCCCTATTAACTTGCCATCTAGTCTTTTTGGTGACACTCTCTAGACTACAGTTTCCCATATACAGAGGAGAAAAAAAACAACAACAAAAAACCCCTCCAGGTTGTACTAAAGTAAGAGTTGAAGATTTTGTTAACCTAACCCAAGACTCCAGTGGGCATCAGGATACCTAGGCTTGAATTCCAGCTGTGTCACCCAAAGTAAGTCCCAGTCTCTGTGAACCTTTTTTACTCATCTGTAAAATGGGAATAAGAACATCTATCCAGCCAGGCACAATAGCACACGTAATCCTAGTGGCTCGGGAGGCTGAGACAGGAGGATCGAGAATTCAAAGCCAGCCTTAGCAAAAGCTAGGCACTAAGTAACTCAATGAGATCCTGTCCCTAAATAAAATACAAAATAGGGCTGGGGATGTGGCTCAGTGGTCCAGTGCTCCTGAGTTCAATCCCCGTTCCACCTCCCAATCCCCGCACCAAAAAAGAAGAAAACCTATCCAAAAAGTTTTCTGGTTGAGATGCGCTTATAGGTATTAAGGTGCTTTACAAATGTTAAGTCACCTGTCAAGGGCATGTGGCTCTTTGTTTCATCCTGACATCATCCCTGAAGGTAGATATGAATGAGGTGAGTCAGGGGAGGAGGAGGAGTCTGGAAATTAACTTCCAGTCCTGTCTGCCTACAGAGGTCTTTCCTGTGCCCCCTTTGGGTCTTAAAATATTTTGACTAGGAACCGAAAGCCTTGGTTAAGGAGGTGTGTGTGATTCTTACTCATCTTCTCCCTGCCCATCCCCAGTTCCTTTCTGCTTTCCCTCAGAGCCCAGCTCCTTCCCAACTTGCCCATTGCCCAGAATTGGATGTTTCTAGGTTCCTGTGATAAGTGCCTTTCCTTTTATCTGGGTGGGTCATGGGACACCTGCTTGTCTTTCTCTCCTCCCAAGGCATCTGATGGGGTGAGTTAGAGGGGAGGAAATGAGTGGATTCTTTGAACTTTGTCCAGTGGAGACCTCCCAGGGCCTGCAGACTACTGGGTTACCCCTGAGTAGGAATCTGAAATCAGGTTTAAATTGGTATTCCCAGCTGGGTGTAGTGGCACATACCTGGAATGCTGGCAGCTGGGGAGGCTGAGGCAGGAGGATTGCAAATTCAGAGCCAGCCTCAGCAATTTAGCAAGGTTCTAAAGCAACTTAGTGAGACCCTGTCTCTAAATAAAATATTAAAAAGTTCAGGGGATGCTTCTCAGTGGTTAGTGCCCCTGCAGCCAATCCAGTCCCTGGTACCAAAAGATGATGATGATGATGATGATGATGATAATAATAATAATAATAATAATAATAAAATTGATATTCCCTGGAATGTCAAAAGAGCTCAGTCTGGACTTGGGGTGTAAGTGAGTTGGAGCAGGGAGAATACTGTGAACTTTTCCCAAGGTAGGAAGGCAGAGCTGGCTGGAATAGACAGATGGGCTCTAGGCAGCAAAGTCTGCTTAGATGGAGATTTCTCTTCCAAGTCCCCTAAAGTGAGAGTCCTTAGTTTCTTAGGGGCCCCTAACATTGCTTACCTCCATACAGTTCATGCCTTTACAGAACCCCATAAAGTCACTTAAGATAGCTAAACTGAGATGAGGCAGAAAGTCAAACATTTGTTAAATCTGATTTATCAAGTCTTGATAAAAGGACTTGAACACTAGAGTGTCAGGCCCTGTGTGTGTCCCCGGTACCCAGTACCCTGTGAGGTGCCTGTCACTTCCCCCTCTCATGTGTGAGAAAACGGAGGTAGGAACGGAGGAACACATACTCCCCCCATCACAGACTCACCGGCAGGTTGAGTGATCAAGTGAAACTGGAGAAAGCTAACTTCCCTGATGGCATTTGTCCTGAGTCACAAGCCAAGTCACAAAGCTGGAATTCCAGCCCAGATTGACCTAGGCCCAAAGCAAAAGAAGAGAATGAATCTGGGCTGGGTGCTTAGCTCTATCTTGCTTCCCAGTGGCAGACACAGAGGGGTCTTTATAAGGGGACTTGCTGTCCAGCTGCAAGGAAAATGGCAAGATGACAGTCTCCAATTGCTAGTTCCTTCTGGCTGCCCCTCAGCTCTTAAAGTGAGATCATGCCCTTTGAAGAATGGGTGACCCTTTGTCAATGACTAAGGAAAGCGCCATCATTTCCACCCCAGGGATTCTCAAATGAGCAGTCTGCATGGGGCAGGGGCTTTGTGACCTTGTTAGTTCTGCCTTGTCCCCCCTGCCCAATCCTGCCTCTTCCCTTTTCTTTTCATGGGTGTTGCTCCCTAGTGGACCTTTTGTCCTAATCCTGTCTAATCCTAATCCTCAGCTTCCAGCAGGACACAGTCTGAGACCCTAATTTAAAAGGGGACGATCATTTTATATATAGAAACTTGACTCTCCATGGGGCGGATGGAGACCGAGGTCAGCCCCACCCCAAAGCCTGTCCTCTCCCTCTGCTCCACACCGTCTGCTCAGCAAGGAGGGGTGTGGACCGGTGGGCCTGTCACCCCGCTATGCAGAGTCCCTGTCCAGGAGAGGGATGGGGTCAGCTTGCAAAGACAAGACCCTTGTGCTATAAAAGATGAAGGCAAAGGGATAGACGTCAACCTAGGACTGGATGGAGACAATGAATGGGAAGTCCCGGCCTGTGGCCTTGGTCCCTAGCTGTGGTGAAGGCAGCTCCCCCCCTTCCCCGCCTCTGGTATTCAGGCTACTGAATGACTGCCATCATTCTTGCAGGATTGGGTTTCATGGCCCCTTTCTCTAAAAGTGCCAAGCATTTTCATGATAATTAGCTCATTTCCCTTCTCCTTTTACCTCTGAGGCAGAGGGGGCATAATCCCTACCCAACCAAGTCATCTGGGGTTCGTATCCCCACGGAACAGGGGCCATCCTGGTGCACAGGAGGGCGTGGAGGACTAATGTTGGCTTGAAGCCCAGGAATCTTAATTTGTTCCACTCATGCAACATTAAGCAAAAAACAAACAAAAAACAAACAAAAACAAAAAAAACCTAAGACCAGGAAGTTAACCACAGTGGGAAGTAGGAAGCCAGCATTCAAGCCCCTGGATTTACATCTGGGCTTCCCCTTTTGAAACCTGAGATAATAAAAGAATCCTACCTTCATTTTAGAACTGGAAGAGATCTTGACAACCATGAGGTCCAAATCATTCTACCAAGGAGGAGGTGTGAGCCCAGAAAGAAGGGAGTATCCCAGCTCACCCAGCCTGAAACCCAGATTTCCTCCTTCTCTGGCCTACTCTTCTTCCCAGATTTTTATTGAGTTGTCTTTTTACAAATATATATATATAGCAGATGGAAAAAAAAAGCTTAATTTTATTTTTATGTGTGCCAAGGATTAAAACCAGTGCCTCTCACACATGGTAGGCAAGCACTCTACCACTGAGCCACAACCCCAGCCCTATTGAGTTGTCTTTGCATTCTCCAAGTATCCCAGTTACAACCACTTTTCTCAGTCTAAACCTCTGCCAGTCACAGGAACAATCAGTAAATGTGGCCAGGATGGGACATGATGAGGGACTGTCCTCTCAGGGTGGATCCAGGAGATCTCCATGCAGGCTTCTGGCAGAAAACCCAACCCGGGCCTGAAATTGACTTTTAAAACAAAA